GTTCAATGAGGATGGCTCCTTTATTGGACAATACAGTGGTAAAAAAGAGAAAGAACCTGCAGAAGGAAATGAAAGTTCTGAGGCTCCTTCTCCTGTCAATGCCATGAATTCCTTTGTTTAATCAAAAAACTCAATTCCCTTCCTAGAATATTTTCCATTGTGTTTAAAGCACTTGTGCATCCTCCTTCTCATACTAAGAACATACAGGTGACAATGCTCCTAGCAACAAAATGTTTATACGATGAGAACATATAGGTCAATACAGTTATACACTATAAAAACACAGTAAGTGATATGTTAGTATGAATCAAAGTGAAAAACTCAATAATTTTGCTCTGAACTTGAGTATTTTTGCTTTTTTTAAAAAGGAACTGACACAAATAATATAACATCATCTGATAATGTTATTTCCTGTTGAAAGTACAGTATAATGCATGAAAAATGCTACACATTTCACAGATAAACCCGTGTATGCTATTAAAATCTGGTTTGATACTTTGTTATGCAGTCCTCAGCTGAATTCCTGGATATGAATTCCGTTTTCATTGTCAGAGTATTATAGTAGTATTATATAGAACTTCAATGTCTTTGTGGACATTGTTGTGAAATTGGTGACTTAATGTCTAGGTATCATATGTCTTTTTGCAAGACAATTAGGAACAGTATGTATGGTATATAATTGCTAAATGATTTAATTATGACACTTGCATTTGCTGATGCTTACTGAGATCCTGTTATCTGCTCTTTGTTCCTATTACTTTATAGCCTTCCTAATCTATCAAGTATTACAGCACTACAGTGTTCTATTTTTACATCGTGTGTATGTTGGATTGATTTTAAGACATAAACCAATATCCATTGCAATGCATTTTGGAATTTGTACAGTCACTGAAGTGAAATTTTAAAATGAGACAAAATATTCCAGAAGACACAGGGCAAAATACATTCAGTGCCTTTATAGAATATGCATTCCATAATGCACTGTACTACTAAGTTGGTGCAATAAACTGTGATTAGTGAACTACTATCATTGCCAAACAAAGTAACTGGTAAAAAGCAGAGATGTTCCTAAAGTGTTGAGCTGCAAAAGGCAAGGAGTTAACATGTTTTAAATTACACAAAGCACAATATGATTTTTCCCTTGAAGATAAAATAACAGTTTTTAGACCGTTAGAGCACAACACGATTTCATTGCCTTACACAGTTTATACAAAAATGGCTGAATTCAGATATTTGAATAATGCTGCAAAACCTAGAACGCTCTTGCAAAATATGTTAAAAAATGCCATGCCAGCAACAGCAAATTTTCCTCTGAGTCATTGCTTGACCCGTGTGGCAGCTTTTGAAATTATCTCCAGCATGAAAGCAGCGTGTAGATTACTGCTCAAACCGCAGAATTCAAGGAATCTGACAAATGCTAACAAGGTTTAGTGGTAAAGGATTACTCTTATCAGTTACAAAAATATCCTTTCACATACTAGATCAATCAAACGGTTTACCTCCAAATATGAAATTTTATAGCAACCTATGGTTGAAGGAATGCTCAGTTTCATTTGCCAATAAATTGGTTTTTCATAACTTGCATCAAGTTTAATTTTAAGTATGCTTTTTATATGTAGATATTTGTTGAATTTGTAAATACACTTAAAGTGTAGATGCTATATGCTTCTAGGTGTTACAAACAAATAAACAGAACAAAAAAAGCCTACGTTGTACTGTGTAAGAAGTACTGTAGCCAATGGAGTTCATGGTATTTTAAAGCATCTACTTAAACATATATTTTTTTGCTGTGAAAATGAAATAGTGAACTGTTCTACTTATTTACTGCAGATTTTTAGATATTATCTTAAGAGCTTGTGTCCGTGGATTACATTAGACCATAGTACACCTTACAGCTTTTATGTATTTATTGTAGGTAAAGCACAATTTGAAGTAATCACAAATGGAAGTCAGCTGAACAAGCTTCTTTTGCACCATTAAGCTTTCCATAATCCATTTTCCTTATGGAAACAAAAACAAAAAATGAACTATATAACACTGATTACAAAGCACAAAGAGAGTTTCTTAATAAGAGTTCCCAATGGTATTGGTAACAATGACGTGAAATTTTACTCTTCTTTAATTGTAGATGCTGAATTTATCTGTGCATGTAAGGGTACACATACAGGCTCACTTCTGTAATAGTGCAACAGATTTTGTATTAAAAATAAATGTGGTTTTAAAATTTCATTGTTTGTTCTGTTCACAAAATATTTAAAATCTGATCTGATTTACCACATATTTAAGAACTTTTAAAGTGAAAAAACATCATAAATGAACTGCAACCCGGTTATTTTCAGGATGTTGCACTTCATCATTTCTGTAATATCAGTTGAAAAATATTAATTATGGGCCTGATCCTTTCCCACTGAAATCAAGTACTATTCAAGTTGCTTCACTGTTGTCTTTCCCTAGAAACATTATTTGATCAAAACTGAGGGCATGCTGCAAAAGACAAAATTACATCCCCACATTCACCCAAAAAGAGAGACATTCCATACTCACTTGGGCCACTCCTAAATACAGATTTGGGCTCCTAAATAAATTATCTTATTTTCAAAAGTCCCATTAACTGTTGAAATCTAGGCAGTTTTAAGTAGAATAATGTACAGTAGACAAGAGCCATTGCAATGCACACTTCATACCTGGTCTGGACTGGATGTGTATAGAAACAGATTAGATAGGTGCATGCCTAAGAGTTGTTATGGAGAAAGGTGTGGATTTCATGGGTGACAGGAAATAAAGAAAATCTATGATTCTTGGCTAGGCTAATTTGGAAAAATGATTCTGCTGGTGAGCCATAAGTTCCTTTACCAGTCTTCTCAACCAGTTATGTTGTTTGATTACCTGTGGATATTCCAGTTTCCAGTATATGTGCACAGTCACAATTCTGGCACATACAGGTCAGAACTGAGGTGCATAATTGTGCTCCTTTTTCTGTAAAGGGGCCTGTTCTTTTGCCAAGCACTAAGCATTCTGGATACATGCAAATTTAGGTACAAGCAAGATAGCTATTTCTGTTTTGATTTAAGTGTAATTCCTAGAAACAGCTGTGGATCTTTGAATTGTGTTGTTTGAACAAGAGATCTCTTTTTATGAGTTTGGTTTTTTGTTTTGTTTTATTTGGATGCTTGCAGAAATTTGTGTTCAAACAAAGAAAGTTTTAGTATTTTACCTTTTCTTTTGGCTGTGTTTTTTATTGAAATTGTGGTAATTAGGGAGATAATTAGGGAAGATTACCCCTATGTATTTCCTTTTGTTGAAGTCTCCTCTCCTGCTGCCTATCCTAAGAAGAAATATTCAGGATGGATTCTTTTTTGGCTCCACCTACCGAAGGAAAAGTGACAAAAGATCTGACAAAAGATCTATCAACCAAACTTTCTGTATAAGCATCTGGCCTGCCTCAGTCTTTCCAAACAGAGAATTCCAGAGCTAAAGAAAGACAGTAGTATGAGACATCATGGACTTCAGTAAAAGAGATGAAAGCATATTGCCCCAGAGAGAGGAGTAGATTGTGATGCAGGTTAGAAGAAGAGGAGATTTCAAGAATTTCTGGTGAGTAAATTTCCCTATTTGCATTTCTCTCTCTTCTTCTGTCCTAGGAAAGAACATTTCAGGTAAAAAGCAGATGCAGTGAGCAGTATCGAAGGAGGAGGGACTTACCTAAGGGTGCTGCTCGTAGGACTTTGCACTCGAGTGGTAATACTTTATGAATGTGTGCGTGGATGAACATGTTGCCAGCTGCCTTTGAATGATGCCTTTGAATTCCTATGCCAATGAAATGGAAGCCTTAGCTATGCTGCCCAGATGGTGAATATATCCCAATGGGCTTTTGACAAGGTGTAGATATGATCCACCATGATTGTAAACCAAAACAATGCAAATTTTGATCCATCTGATCTGGCAACCACTGCTTTAGTTGCTGCTTTGCCCTTATGGCAACAGAAACCCACACACAGTTTGTTAACTTACTCAAACCCATTTAAACATGATAAACAGAACATCAGAACATGTTTAATATGTAAAGAATAGAGTCTTCTGTCTCAAGACACAGGAGGAAGGGTAACAATGGGCTCCTTGTCACGAAATCCAGAGTTTGCCTTTGATGTTAATTTTAGGGATAAATGGAATGCTGCCTTATCTGGAAAAAAGCTTAGAGATATAGCAATGAAGAGAGAGCTCAATTCCCCCTGCTGTCTAGGAAAGGTCATTACAGCTAAGACGATGACCTTGTTGGAGCATTTCCCCGGAGAAAGAGGAGAGGTGACATGAGGACATACAGTACCAAAGAAAATTCCCAAGGATGGACTCCTTGTCTGTAAACAGATCTTTGCAGTAGAAAATGTTGAGGGAGTCTTTAAGTGTTTCTACCTGCAGTGGGTCCTCTGATAGCTGACAGTGCCCAAGCATAGCGTCTGTCTTTGCCCTCTGTGAAACTCCAGAAGGATAAAGTTGAGGCCATTTTACAAGGAACAGGATTTGTATTTCTCTACATGCTTTATTTGAAAAACACCTTCCAAATACAAGAGAAAGACTTGTCAGTAGATGGCTACCTTCTGCTCACCAGGAACTCCATGATCTCATGGGACTATCTCTTTTCCAAGAACTAGTTTCACTCAACTGTTGTCTCTCAACTGAGGTGTTCAGACTGAGAGAAGAGAACTGTTCCTTCCAATAAAAGGTCTTCTTTCATATTTTGGGTATGTACTAAGAGGTGGAAGGAATATCTCAGCTGCTGGATCCCAATGATACACAAGCATATGTGTGCTCAGGGCTTTGGGCTTGACCATCTGGGAGCAGAATCAGGGAAGTTTAGCCAGTCTACTGCTGGTGTCCCCATTCTGCACCTGATCTGTGAAAGATTCTGGGACTGAAACTCCATTATCTAGAAGTGAGCTAACCACAGTTGAGACAGTCTCTGATAATATTGCTCTTGCCCTGGAAATAGATGTCTTCTACAGAAAAAAATTAAGACGCTGCCCAAAATCCCAGCCCAAGGTCCTCCACCAGGAGTATTTTGCTCTTGGTTTTCTGGATCTATTCCTGTAGGTAGCAGCAGTTCTTTTCTTGCATTGAATCAAGTTATATCTATGAAGAATGAAGGGTTTCCAGGTTTTGAGGACTAAGGAGGTGGCCTAGTGGTCTAGAAGTTTGATATTCAGACTCTGTTTGGCCAGAGCCTATATGGGCAAACCAGCCTGAAAGACTGGCATCTTTGGTAATGAAAGAAAAGAGAGGTTTGCTGAAACCTGGAGAGACTGGAACCATCATGAGAGAGAAAGCTAAAGGAGTTGATGGATATATAGGTTTCCTTTGGAGATTGGAGACAATGCCGTAGGACAGAAGGTCTGAACAGGACCTCTCTCAAAAATATTTGGCTACCAGGACCACTGTGATCTTTGTAAAGACCCCAGATATGGAAGAGTCCAAAGGGGAGACCAATTAACTGAAAGGGGATGGCAAAGGAACTACTGATGACTGTGGTGAGTTAGGGCATACAAGAAGCATCCTTGAAGTCAACTGAAAAAAGAAAATCACGCTGGGAGAAACCATATAGGACAGACCCGAGGGGATGAGAGTTTCCATCTGATATTTGCCCTTCCAGAGATAGCAACTAAATAGCCAATGGTTCATAACTGATGGAATCCACCTAGGAGTTTACAGACCAATACAGTGTGGCAATAAAATCTATTCCACTGAAGGGATCTGAGAACTGCCTGTTTTAGTAGAAGTGCTGAAACCTCAGAGTAGAGGGCCAGGGATTTTAATGTATGAGGGTATACAGAGAAAGCAAAAGGGAAGAGGGTCCAGAAGAAATCTGACAGATTAATCTGCCTCACCCAAGTGTCCAGAATGAACAAGGCCCCGACCGCTGTGGAGTTGCTGGGCTCCCACAGGAGATAAATAAGAGAGAGGAAGCCGGGCCGGATAGATGTCAGGAGGGCCTGCTGGAGGAGAAGGGAGCAGAAGAAGAGAGAGATCAAAAAGTGTCTCTAAGTGGATATCGAAGGAAGAAGAGGAACCCTGAATTTCAGTGGAATATTGGCAGAAATGGTGATATACACATGTTGAGGATCTGGCCCTCTGTGCCCTATGCTCATGGGAGCAGAGGAGACAATATGAGCCTACGTGTAGAAAATGTAGTAATTCGTTTTATGTTGGGAGAATAAAAGAAAATGAGAACTCCCCTAGGATATGATCTCTCTACCTTTTGAAACAGAAGTACACAAGCTTTGGTTTACAACAATGGGCTACCATATATTTTTTCATTAGTGCAATAGAAACATAGTGAGAGTTAGAAAAATCTAATATAAAAGCTGTGGAGGTAAAAAAAAGACAGAATTCTGCCCTTAATAGCAGGTGCCTGGGTTCCCCTTGAAATCAATAGGAGGCACACATACTCATCCAAGTGTAAGTTTGGATCAAAAATGTTCTATAGTTCATTTAACTATGTACATGAACACAACAATTATATACAAATCAGACACTGAGCTTCAACCTTGTGCAACCAAAACTCAGATTGAAATCAGCAGGATTGGGCCCTCGATTTAATGTAAATTTTACTTCAGTAAAATAGTGACTAGCATTTGTCTATATCTTGGATGTAGATTTCTTCCTGGGATAGTGCCTATTAAAATTATTAAGTACAGAATTGTATGTTTGTGTCTGAGAAAGAAATTGAAAAAGAATAAAACTGTTAGGTTGCCCATTGTCTTTTTCAGGATTGGTACTCTATAGACTTTTTCCTAACTTGGCTCTTGTTCTTGCCATGATTATCAATTACAGGAACACCTTGCTTTATTTCTCATATAGCAATTATGACGAGTGTGAACCACACCTTGTGTAGGATCCGCAGAGTACTTAGATAAAAAAAGAAGGAAAAAAAAAACCCTACCTCTAGCAAACCCAAAGGAGTCCTTGACTGGGTTACCTACCAATAGCAGGAATGTCACTTTTTTTAAAACTGACCTGGGCTCTGTGGATCACTTGGAAGTACTTCACAAACCATTAGTTGTCTGCAGACCAATTTGAGAACCACTGGGTTAAATTTCCTTGTGCGAAGGAGAGCTATTCCAACAGATCAATGGCAGAGCATTTTTCTTGGTAACTGATGACATGGTGTGAAGACTTGGGGAATCTGTCTGTGCAATTTATGAATTCTGGTTGATATTGTGTATTGAAAACTGCTGTATCACAGAATGCCTCTGTGTCTATTCACCATTGCTGACAAGGCTGTAAGCATGTCTCTCCCAGACTAGATGCAATGGGGAGGAGTTAACCTTAATGACTGTACTTTGACTGTAGACAAGTCACTAGCAATAGGACAAAGGGAACTCACACTGCCGCACAGGAAGCTTTGGGCAGGAGAGAGGGAAAGAGACTGGCAGTCTTTCATAGCAGCGGAGGCTCAGTTTAGCTGCAGGACCAACTAAGGTCAGAGAAAGCAAGCTGACCTAGAGGGAGAAAGAGGTTCCATAATTGAGATGACAAGCCATGCGCTGCAGAAGAAGAACACTGGATGGCTTCAGAGGACCCCAGCCCAAAGAATGCTCAGGAGTGGTGAGAAAACTGACACAGGGAAACACAAGTCGGGTTTATTATTTTTGTATAGGTCTATGTATTTCTTGTGTGATTAAGTAAAGAGCAATGTTGTTAGAATCCTATGGAAAGTCTGTCTATACCTATCATATCCCCTGGAAGAGTTAACCTGTGGACCCAGGACACCCACACAGTTGACATTCCAGGTGTATTTAAGCTACATGGAAGACTGAGGGGTCAGCATTCGTGACAGGTTTTCGGTCATTGGACCGTGAGGTTTCCGCTCTCAGGAGAGGGTGCTAACGAGAGGGTCTGCACCACAAGAGTGTGCCTAGGGACCCCAAACCATGGACCTAGACTTGGTTCAGGCTCTGGGGGCCTAAAGCACATGAGGACCAGTGAGGTAGGTCCCCTCACGGAGATTGAGTGTGTAGCCAACTGGATCTGTGACACATGGTCCCAGTCCTATCAGCTAATGCCTGCTCGTTATTTTGTAGGTACTGTATGTTCATGGGTTACTGTTTGTATGTATGATAGCTAGCAGCTGTAAGTTTGTACAGACAAAAATGGTGCCAAGTTCTGGGCTTTTGCATGAGGCCAATTAGCTCATATTTTGTGGTTCATTTGAAGGTCCTAAACTCAAAACATGGTTACAACTGGGTGATAAATTGCTCCAGGCTGAACATGCAAAAATAAAAGTGACGCAAATAAGCTTTTGACAACCCTAGGATTCAGGCTTGCACTTGTTAGTACATTAGATTAGGTCAGTACTCTGTCTCACCAACCCATCACACTTCATCTGTCTTAGAATTTGTCCTGACTATTCATAATATCTGTGTCACAGAAACCAGGATTAAGGTATAGAAGCATGAAGACTGACATAGCCTTTCACACTGAATTGGGGTCCAGGTCACTGCTGGTGTCATAGCTGTGAAAATGAAGATTGGCTCTATCTTTCCCCTACCTGCCTCATAAGTATGACATTTATTTTTATATTGCATTGTCAGTCCCTTAAAATGTGATCCAGACAGTTATGATCATTAGCACCTGTTAGTAGCATACCACTGACAAATTAAATACTTGTCACAAAGCAACCTCAGGACATACGTGCTGAATGTACTGATATCCTGACATCAGGAGGTCCCTTTATATGAAATTAGATGAGGAGACAATGAAATCATTTGCTCAGAACTAATCAAATTGTCAGACAATATTATTGTCAGCATGACTCTGCCTGCAGTCACAGTCTAAGGGCAGTAGGACCCTGTTTGTCTGAGGGCAGAGGCTGTGCCCCTCAAGATTAGCATCATGTTGGCTGTGTGACAAGGGATGGGGGGAAGACATCCATAGGGACATGAACAGCAGGGTAGCAGGGAGACTTGTTACACACAGAGAGAGAGGCAGCAAAGGGCGGTGGATGCTTAAGGTATGGGAGAAGAAAAAGCTTGGAGTGGAGTATCAAGTTTCTAAAACGATTGTTAAAGCATTTGGAGAGAGCACAGTGTGAATGTGAGAGTGTGCAGGTGCATGCATTCCCCAAAGCAAATATGTACCAACAGTTGGGGTTAACGATAGGAACAAACAAGGCTTAATGACTAAAAATGAAGTAAATTTACCAAATTATTGATAATTTCTAGCAGTTGCAAGAACAGTATTAGATGCTGTTGAGAACAGGAAATTCAGCATCTGCCACAGGATTTTAGTGATAATCTTTCCAGAGATTTGCATCATGATTTACAGTGTACACCAGTAGTTCTCAACCAGAGGTATGCAGAAGTCTTCCAGGGGGTACATCAAGTCATCTAGATACTTGTATAGTTTTACCACAGGCTACATAAAAAGCACTAGCGAAGTCAGTACAAACTAAAATTTCATGCAATGACTTGATTATACTGCTCTATATGCTGTATACTTAAATGTAAGTACAATATTTATATTCCAATTGTATAATTATAAGGTAAAAATCAGAAAGCAATTTTCAGTAATAGTGTACTGTAACACTTTTAAATGTTTATGTCTGATTTTGTAAGCAAGTAGTTTTTAAATGAGATGAAACTTGGGGGTATACAAGACAAATCAGACTTCTGAATGGGGTACAGTAGTCTGCAAAGGTTGAGAGCCACTGGTCTACACAAACCCATTTTCTGCAGAAGTGTTTAATACAGAGTCAGAGTTTTCCCACTCATGACACCAGCCTCCAGCAGCTAGTGTACATTCTATAAGCAGCATGATTCCAGTACACCATTCTTGGTTTTCTGAAGCATACGCAAAATTACAACCCTTAACCATGTTATCATAGACATTAAAAGCAAAGTCATGTTTGCTGTGTAGATAATTTTAATCATGTTCTTAGTGATCAGATGATCACTAAACACATATAATAACCAAAAGGAAAAGGGATGTTGGAAAACAATATTCCACATTTTTGAGATGCTTGTTTTTGAAGGACAAGTTATTTAAGCTATACTGAGAAGCTGAGAGAGAGGCTTTTGTCCACCGTCTTGTTTAATTGCTAAATAAAATTTTCAGTTTTGATGGCTGGAGGTTGTTCTTCCCCAAAGATAAAAGAGGAAACAAGATAACCCTGCCTCTAACCTAAACTGCCGCTTGCAGGTTCCCTGTCATTCCATACTCCTCTTTAACTGCCGGTCAAGCTGTCCTTTTTCCTAAATCATGGCATTTAAATATCAGTCTTAATGAGATCATTTGTTAAAAATACTTCGAAGGGTTATCAAGACACAGTAAAACCAAATGAGAATTGAGAATTAACATAATCTAAGCCTAGATTTAGCACAGGTTTATAGTAGCTAAAGATGAAAAATACATGTTAGATCATCACTGCATCCATAGTTCTAAGCAGCACCTCCCAGCCTACCCGCTTTAGTTACAGCCCTCACAGGTGTGAGAATGGTAGGACATGTACTGTGGAAGGCTGTAGCGCTCTTTCAAGAACAAGCTTAGGCTCAGGACTCCTGGAGGACAGGAACAAGGGCAGCATAAAATGGTGTAGTAGCAGAATTTACTGCTTAACATGCAGGTGATGAAAAATGCCACCCACCTGCCTCAACAGGTAGGGGAACTTGAGAGACCTGGCAGTGCAAGGTGACAACTCCAGCAGTGAAGTTGGCCTGCAAGGCTACTTGATTAACTACACCACCTGATTGGTCAGGAAGGGTAGCTGGCTGTTAAACCCATCAGCAACAATCTGGCTGCTCAACGCCTTCACACACCCAGCTGTGATGCTCCCTGTGTCAGCTGCTCCTGTCTTGCTCTAGGCCTGTTCCTGCCTTGTTCCCTCACCTTGCTCCTGGTTCCAGCGTCCTCACCCTGACTCTAGCTCTGACTCTTGGCATGTCTACTGGTTCCTGATCCTAGCTCTCACCCTTGGCTTGGCTTAGTTCCTGGTTCTGGCTCTGAGTCCTGGCATGGCTATTGGTTCCTGACTCCAGCCCTGACCCTTGGTTCAGATCTTTTCCTGCCTGGGAGCTCAGGGTACTGGGAGCAGAGCAGTGCTGGGGAAAGGTAAGAGGAGCTAGGGAGCCCCAGCCTGGTAAACCCCCAGGCTGCAGGCCTTGTTAAAGGCCAACGCAGGTACTAGGGTTGCAGAGGTACAGCCTGGGATTAGGCAGAGGCAGCCGGTCCAACCCTCCCTTGCCAATGATGACTGGCCATTACACTGCAGTCTGCCCGAGTGAATGGGGGCTAGATGATGACTGGCAGTAGCCACTGAGGCAAGGTGGGTGTAGAGGGTTGAGGGGTTCCCCTGGGAGGGGAGACCCAGCATGTGGGGTACTGCAGTGGGCAGAACCCCAGGGTAAGCAGCACCAGAGTCCAGGAGGGACACGGGGGCCTGAGGCAGGCGAGACACCGGCCACCAGGAGGTGCTCTGAGGCTGAAGAGCTAATTCCCAAGACGACCACCAGGAGGCACCGCGCCAGTGAGTCTCAACCTCGCTACAATGATACTTTAAGAAAAGCAAAAAAAGCAATGATCACAGGGGTTGTATTACACAAAGAGAGTTTGCAGATGAGTTTAGCAAAATCCTATATGCAGTTAAATTATCATTCTTTTCTGCTTCTTTTATATTGCCATTTATTTTCAGCAACAAACTATGACAGGGTTTGTGTGTATCCTGCAAAGAAGGCTAAAAGAAAAAGGCACAATAAGCATGCTAAATAGTATGAAATTCAGGAGGGAGAGGTAGGCCAGGAATAGGGTTGCGGAAGGGGATGCAAACCATCCTGCCCTTCATCCCCTTTGAGTCTCTAGGAGCTGCTAAGACTAAGGAAGTGGAGCTCTGCAGGGCCACAGAAGGCACACCAGTTTTGGGGCCTTTTACCTGGCAGCAAAATCAAGCCTTCTCTGAAAACAGAGTGTCAGGGAATGTCTATGAGAGATTCCCCATGGAGACTTGCGCTCAAAAATCTTCCACCTGTGGTTTTTCATGTAATGCAGAATGAGAGGAAACAATCTAGCCCATTATTATTATTATGTGTAGCTAAAATTTAATTCCTATTGCAACTAAATCAATTGGACTGAATGAAAATTACTAGGCAATTTATAAAAATGGCCATCTTTCCTGACAGATACATTACAAAGTTTGTAATCATGTGGCTTCACGTGTTATTTTGGCACAATATTCACTTTTACTGGACATTCAGATGGGGGTTGAGGGGTTGGGTCTTGTCTGCCTTTTTTGCTTTCTGGTAAATAAGAGAACACCATTCAATGTTCAATTCAGAATGAGTAACGTACACAGAGGGGAGCTCCATGAATGTTCTAATCAGCCTGTCTGCTGGCTGTGGTAGGAGTGTGCTGTGCTTTTGCTTGGCTTTTTTGTTATTTTGTCCTTTTTTGACCTTTGAAAGTTAACGTGATTTTTTTTACAGGGGTTCATTTAAACAACTAAAATGAACCAGTCTGAGGCCATTCCAAAGCAACTGGGGGATTCATGGCATCACCTCTACATACAGGCATTTTAACAAATTCTTGGTGAAGATCACATTTTAATGCAACAAGCTAATGCACGTGATTCCATTAGGAGTCAGCTGGCCACTTCAGTTTTTGCACAAATGCAGGGTTAGAAAAACTGTCAGGTTTCTAAATTACATTAGGCTGTGGACAGAACAGTAGGTACAGGAACTGAGAAAAGTCTTTAATAGTGGTAGTGTTTTCAGGGAAATAGATCATAAATATGATCATGGGCAAGCACTGATGGTTTTTGACACAATATAGGTCACTCACAAAAATCAGAAGGTGTTTTTGAGCATGCAAAAACTTGTGCACTTGTTAAGCCACTGAAAACAGTAGCATTTATAGCATCAAGTTACTACCACTCCTCCTTCATACGAAGTTATGCTGGTTTTGCGTTTAGAAAAAAAATTCTTTGGGATTGGTCGATATTATGACAATTTTAATTAAAAGAGATTTAAATGTTATCAGTTGATTTGGTTAAGGAGACAGCTCTGTTGGGATAAAACTTCCAGCTTAGATGTATGTGCAGTGTGCTAGGGATATAAACACCTTAGCAATAAGAAGATTGAAAAAAACAACGATGAGATTATTTTATTAAGTTAAGTTGTCAGCGGTTCCTGAAAAGCTCACTCATGAGCCATAATAGAATTGAAGCAGAGTACCTGGGGTTATTCCATCTGGATGATGCCCCATACTGAAAATTAATAAGGTAGAAAGCATTAGCGGTATCAGTATAAGGGCTGGACTGATATGGGTAGAGTGTTTTTGTTAGGGGTGGTTAAAAAACACATCAGTAGATGTAATAGTACCTCTGAGATGTGTAATACATGGCATATGACTGTAGCCAGCCTGTGATGTGTCTTTGGGACAGGGATTCATTTTGACTTGCTATATGAAAGAAGCTTAGGCAGGACTGGAGTCTAAGCGTGTTTCCTGCAGTTATTAGCTTATATACCATTCAGAGTTTCAAATAGTGGAACAGAAAGTTCCACGTGTGCCTGTGTTGAAGAGCAGTTTGCAAATGGAAATAATCAAATTGGCGTGTTAACTTGTCTGCTGACCAGAATATAAAAGAATCACTGAAGCCACTTGAGGTTGTTGACTGTCCTTGGTACAAGGCTGGAGGGTACCTCTCTGAATTAAATAGGAAAGATTATTTTTTTACTGGTGGACTACTACTTGATTTTTTTATTTTGGAACTGAGCTATTGCACAACAGCAATGTAATAACGTATTAACACATTGTAAATCACTGTTTGCTTGCCATGAGCTTCAAAATGAGTTAACAGATAATTGCACAAAATGTACAAGTCACTCGTTTCAGTGTTGATCTTTCATATATCGTATCAAGTGTTTACTATGCACAGCAAAATGGATTAGCATGAAAGTCAGTATGAGTATCAAAGGCCTTGATTTTTAAAAATGCCCTGGTGAGTTCAAAGGATCCATACTTATCATAGTTAAAATACCACAGCACACTTTGCAGTGCTTCATTAGGGTCACCAGTTCAGAAACTCATAGACAAGAAAACCAAAACCTTAGTGCCAACATTTAACAAGCTTCTTGAGCCAAAGATTTTTAGTTTTGAATAGTTACAAAAGAACTACATGTCAGGGGAACAGGAAAAAATACCATGACAAGAATGCCATAATTGCAAGTGGAGGAGAATGTTGGATTGAAAACAAAGTGGCTGACAACTTGCCAAGATAACAGCAATGCCATCAGCATCAATGTCAGATATCAGTCCTACAGAAGGAACAAAAGACAAAATACAGGAGGATAGTAGTTTCTTTTGGACATACAGGATGCTTCTATGCTGACAAAAGTAACACATGCTCACCTACTCAGACAATAAATACAGTAACTTGTTTTATCCAAATGGTATGAGGGCTGGAGAGTGAGTTGTGTGTATATATCTGTTGTAGATGGAGACTTTAAGACAGTGAAAAAATTGATGTTACGTATGTGATCCTAGGCACCCCAGTATTCACACCCTACATCCTATTGGAATGACATTTGTACAAAACATGTCTTGGGAGGTATCATTTTAAAACTAACACCACACTGGTCATTAATATAATTGTGAAATGTATGTGGCAGTGCTGTATGTGCAGTTATGGATGTCCTCCGATATTATGTTTTAAAGTCTGTATTTGAACAAAGTAAAAAGCAGAGCTGCCCACATCTTGAATATAAATGGAGCAGGGTTGTCCAGTGACAATGGGATTGCAATTTACATGTGCGGTAAACACAACCATCAAAGTTCACAAGGTGGTTCGGGAGTCAGCATATCTGGATCACAAAGGCAGGATAACACCTAGTCAGCTGGCATCTGAAATTGCTAACAGGACACCTACATTGTAAAATTGCAGCAGGAAGCATCACTTTGGAACACACACTGGGGACACCTTAATCAAGATGGAGTCAGTCCCCTGGAGGAGACAGGACACTGAACCCCAGGGGAACAATTTGATCCTTGAAACAAAGGCAGCTATATAAGGACACACAGAAAGACTTTCAGTTATCCTTTACTTGATGGGGCAAGAAAAGCCAGCACCTTGGACTCTGTGGAGATCCAGCAATGGCTAAGAGCTACAGCTGGAAAAGCAAGATTGATGGAGAAGCCATCTTGAAAAAGTTAAGTTTTGACTGAGTTAATGTTTAGTCTTAGAAGTTTGTTTTACTTTTGTTTGTTTGTAACCATTTTCAGCTTTATTCCTTCGCCTTGGTATCATTAAACCTGTGTTCTTTTGTTAATAAATTTGTTTTATTTTTACCAAAAGGCAACTCAGTGCTATGCTTGTAGGAAAGGGTGTGTTAGCCCTAGTTCAGTTAATCAGTTGAAATGTTTTCTCTCTCTAAAAGAACAGCAAACTTAACTTCTGTGAGTGTTCAGTATGAGGGCTGGACAAAGCAGGGAGACAGTTTGGGGGAAATTTGGGAGCGGGGGGCTTTTGGTGTCACTCTGTGAACAGTAACTGTTCGGTGCAAGCCACGGTGTAACTTGCATGCTGGCTGTTGGTATCCAAGGTCTGAGCCACAGCAGCAGAGCATTGAAGGCACCCAGAGTTGCAAGGCAAGCGGTGACACAAACCCTTACTGGGCTGGGTTGAACCCCAAAATGTGACAACTTACCAGCAACTGGAGATTCTTCAAAGTGTGTAGTCCATATCTGTATTCCACATATGGGTAAGCATGTGCTGTATGCAGATTTCTAGCAAGTTGTGTCTGTTAGTCTGCACCTGTGTAGTATGCTCTGTGTCGAGAATATAAGGCAGTGGTATTCAATAACATTTTCTGGGGGACTGGATAAGGCAATGTCCAAATCTTGGCAGGCCAGAGGGCTCTTCAGGTGTTTGGTCTCCAGTGAAATCACCTCAGTGTTTCACCTAGCTGACTGGGATTGGCAACGAATAACACATGTGCCAAAGATGGCATGTCAGTTGATTTTTTTGAATAGTATTCACACTGCTAGTCCAATCAGGCACATTTTGGGATGCACTTCAGTTAATTTTCCCTCTGTTTTCTGTCATGCTAGCTACAGGTAGAGTAGAGCCCCCTATTCAGCTGAACGTTAGGCCCCCAGCAAGTCCAGCGCCTGTCTTCCTCTGCGGTCCCAGCTGCAGCATCCTCATACTGACCCACCTCTGAGCTCCACCCGTGGCTGGTGTTTTGGATTTCCCTGGGGAACACCAAAGATTCACGCGTCATAACTATCACTGTAGCTCTAACTGTAGATGCGGTATTGGCCACACCCACTGCAGCTTGAAGAAAGGTCTTAGCTACCAGTTTGCTTTCATCAATGAGGGCTTGGCACTGGGCCCTGTTCTCCTGAGGGAGTTTGTCTTTGAACTCCAAGAATTTGGAATAATTTGTGAAATCATACTTTTCTAACAGGGCCTGGTAGTTAGCAATTCTAAACAGGAGGCTGGTGGATGGAAATACCCCTCTCTCTAGAAAGACAAGGTGTTTAGTGCCCTTGTCTGCAGGGGTTGCCCTTGGGGTGTTGCAGGCTGGATCTCTCTCTGTGGCTGCTTGGGAGTTGGGGGCAGTTGCTGCCGCTTTAGCTGGTCCATAATATTGCCTCTCAGCCCTTTTTGGGGTGGGCACATAGGAAGCAGGAGTATGCCATACTGCCCTGGCTGGTTCCATTTAGTGAGAGGGCTACCTGGCTGGGGTCAGATTGCTGAAAGATGTCCAGGAACATATGCTGTGTATCATGGACTTCTATGAGTGGAATCTGGACGAACTGATCAGAAACAGTGTTTCCTCCCTCTTCAATTTTCCTGGAGGATGTACTTTGCACTTTCCTTGCACCTTGTATCTAGGGCTCTCCAAAGTGTTTTACATGCCATAGCACATTAAGCCTTAGTAAATGCAGTACTGCAATCCCTATTTTGCAGATGGGAAGATGGAGACATCAAATGGTTGTGCAATGCTTTAAATGTATCAGGTTAACTGGGACATATCCATTAATGATCACTTCTGGTTTTTCATAACCACGGTCTCTGATTGCATTTCAGTAGAGAATACACTTTGTTCTCCTGCGAGCAACAATCTACTCCCAGCTAGAACATCGCTCTGCTTTTGTTTTTCGCACTTCTCTATGTATTTGACCAGAGGAAAAGAATACCTCTGACGGCAGCAGCCTGTAAATCAGATGGCCATTCAAAAGCCTCTGTGGCACGTGCTATACTGTGACTTTTTAACCACTGTTTGGGTAAAGGAAGGCATGAGGAACACCACATCAGCATCACTAAAGAAGAGACATTCTGCTGGGGGAGCATATGTGGAAGTGGCAAGTTGCTACACCCTTTAACAGGTACAGTATGTGCTCCACCCAGTACCAGCTGAAAGGAACTGAGCCATGGCTGTGATCTGCTCCCTGCTTAGTCTATCACCACTACAATGCTCGTGTCCTTTAGCTCAGAGAACAACAAAATTAAGGATTCTAGCTGCTCCTTGGGCTGGCACAACAGCATAGTGAAAGCAGTGTCCTCTTCCACACTGTCAACTTGCATATCCCTGCCAGGGGAGCAAGATTCTGTCCCTAAACTTAAATTTTAAATAGCATAGAAGTTCCACAAAAAAGGATTAGAAATATTAGATAATCATTTGGAGAAAACAAGCTTTTTATATACATACAACAGCCCACATTTATGACCCAAAATTTTAATATTCTAGTCCTTATTATATGCCACTTGATTTGGCTGAATCAGCGTATAAGTTTGTGGATTATGGCTAAATCCTGTGCCTCACTGAAAATTTAGATGTCACAGTGCAATTAAGTGTATTCACAAAACAAGAACTAGCCAGAGTCCATTTACTCCTCATCATTATTATTTATAAACATATTTAACATCCTTTACACCTATCAAGTGTTTTTAAAACAAGTAAAGGGTAAAAGAAATGTGGTTTTCAAGTATAAAAGACAAAACACACAAACATTATATAATATTTAAAATTATTAAAATAAGTTTTAAGTTTACTTTTCAAAGAGCTAATATAATCAACTGCATAGCTATATTGAGAATGGGAATTCCAGCAGAGTGTTGCCAAATAAG